TTCATAATATTGCATGCATGTCTTTCGAAATTGGGTCCAAATATCTGCTAGGCTAAGTACGTCAATTTTAAGATAGAGATCATGGTACTCTTCTAGATTTTGGCAGTTAAATTCTTTCCATACTTTTTGCGCATGCTCATAATCTTTTTGACTAATTTTGCCATGAAGATGTGTACTAAATTCATGAATTGGCGGAAGCTCAGTCTCAAAAAATCATCTTGTGAATCGAAATACTCATAAGGATGAACTCATTTACGACTTGCTAGTGAAATTTGATCTGAAGAATAGTCATTAAAGTGCTGGCTTGTGATAGGGTGGTTGGTACCCAAATTTTTTGTAAGATTTGCCAAGCTATTATTCATGAATTGCATGCTATCTATATACTTAAGCTGACCCACCTTCATAGACTTGTATCGCTCAAATGTTTTGGCTATAACTTTTATCTGATGAGCATTAATTGATTTTCTAACAGATTCGCAAACCAAGTGAGAATCATAACCTCGGAAGTTATGAAAGATAACTGGAATTGGTGTCTTCCAGGGTACAAATTGAAGATTGAGATTGCAGAGATTGTGAGCAGCTCCTTGAAACCTACCTGTAATATGACAGTGATCCCAAACCTTTATGTCCATAGACTTTGCTTTATTAATATCTTTAGTTATCTTGTCAATTTGTTTTGTTAAGGTCTTATAATCTTCTGAATTCTTTGCAGTATTTTTTAGCTTATTATTAAGCCATGATACCTTACTTTCTAAGCATTTGACTTTATCTTCATCTATATATATATAAATATATAAATATATTTACATGTAATTATGATAATATTGAATATAACTTTAGTATCTTATATATTTCTGATATCTATCTTAGCTATATATGATCTTTTGCAGTATAGATGACATTACTAATAAAATATATATAGGTATCACCATATACTGCAAGAGATCCTACGAATAAATAGAGTGGGTCAATTTCAGTAGAATATTTTTTAATACTATGATCAGATAATTTATAAAGTCATAAAGAAAGGGATCATTATATTCAAGATTCATTATGGATACCCATCGATTGTACTTGTATTCTATAAAATAGTATTTGTGCTCTGCCTCAAATTATTAATGCATGTTGACAAGGGTCAACGGTTCGAAAAGATAGGGGAGAATGGTAAAATAAGCTCGTGATTTCAATATCATGGCCAAATCAGGTAAATAGGGTAGCTGCGCGAATTTTGCCAAGAGAAAACAATTTTATTTATTTATTTGCATTCTTTCATAATACACCTGATCTGTATTCACTGGGTTAACTCTATACAATACACTCAGAATTTAGACTTTGTCACGGCCCTGTTTATAACCGTAAAGATCTGGTGAACCTCAAATAGAATTTAGAATGTCATGCTTTGTTTATAATCTCAAAGATCTGGTGAACTTCAAATACAATTCGCTTCTCCAGGTTTCGGTGTATAGAGATTTTAATAAAGAGCGTCAACTATGATAAGTCAAAATATTAGACTAGCTTGTGTAATTTTCAATTAAAAAGTGATAACACAAACCTAGAGATGTCTAATCGTGGATTATAATTGTTCTTAGCAGAGATGTTTATAAGGCGTCTCACTGCCGTTAAAAGTCTTATGCGATCTCCAATTGAGCTGATTTTCAACTCTTTAAGTGCTTTATGATCTAATTCTAAAAGTACATCTCCGTTAATGTCATTTTCTAACATAGAAAATTAAAATTATAAATTGGAGGGTATACCTGATATAGTAAAGTAATACCGTACGGAAACACGAATCAGAACGGACATTTAGAAATCATGGTGGTATGTACGGTTGTAAAAGAACAAATTTGTCCAACACAAGTTACTTTTCCTACTAACTCCAACATGAAACAGGACAATACTAGCGCTCACCCTAACCCTAACCATTAAAAATGGTTACTTATAAAAATTGAATTTTGCAAGTCTATAATAACCGTACGTATGATTATAATTTTCGTATGTCCGTTCAAATTTGTATTGCCGTACACCACTACTTTACTGAATACCTGAAATGGAATGAGTTTGTTTAGATCATATTACTGTAAAATAAAAACTACCAATTTAATTAAAACGATAAGACCAATACCTGCAAAAAGTTTTTTATATTTTTTGAAATTATTTTCTTGTAACCAAATCGAAACCTGATCTATCTTCCAACATTTAACACTTTCAAGGGTAATATCTTCAGTTAACTTTGGATTCGTCATGCTTTCAAAATATTACTACGTAAGTGCTGAAGTAAATATTTTAAAGATATAAACCTTGATCTCTAACGCTAAAGCCTATATTCAACGTTTTGTAACACTTAACGTGCCTAAAATTTTTGAGTAGAAGATGATCATTTACAAATTTGATATAATTTGTAAAAGTGTAGAAGTCTTAAAATAATGATAATGTAAGTACTAAAGAAAAAAGTTATAAAAAACCCCCTAATTTGTCTTTCGAACGATAACTCTCTTGAATTTTACACTACGATTTTGTAAAAAAATGAGAGCCTGATCATAAGTTCAATTACACTCTATACTTAATAAAA